CCTGCCGCTCCCATCTTCCTAGAGCTCAATCAATGAGGCTTCCCCAGCCTCCCCTCCTCCTGGGGTTTCCATGGGAATCCTCCTCCCACACAGTCAGAGGCTCCTGGGATAAAAGCTCAGCTGTCAGCCAGCAAGGAGAGCGGGTGCTGGGAGGCAGGAGGCTTGCTGGGTGGTGGTGACCAGGCCAGCATGCTCTCCAAGGTCATTTGAAAGAGACATAGGTCAGATCCAGTGGGACCATGTGCAGTCCTGGTTAGTGGTGTAGCTGCCCTGGGTACCCGTGGTTTGGTTTGGTAATACAGCTGTCCTCTGTGAGGCCCAGCATTGGTTCAAGCTGGGGCAAAGAATGACAAAAGAGGCTGAGGACCGTCTAGGAAAACATCTTTTAAAAGAACCCAGTAGTCTGCATGTCTAACCTCTTATTTATCCCCTAAGGTGAGCATAACTCACTGGACATAAGCGCTTGTCTGAAAACAGGTTTCCTGAAAGAAAAAGCAGGACCATTCAAGCATCAGGGTTAGTCTAGAAGATTGCAGTGGGGACTTGGGAACTCCTCTGGTAAGCCTGGGGCATCTTTTTGGGTGTGCTGCATACACCAGTCTTGGAAAGAAGAAGGGTCTCAGGAGAAGGCAGACAGGAGGACTCTGCCTGTGAGAAGTGCTCCATCCCTAGGACTTGTATTATTCCCTCACGTATTGCAGAGACTGTGGCTAACAGGTGGGATATCTTTATAGGCCAGCTAACTGGGCCACGCTCACGCATTTCTGGAAAAGGCAGAGGTGCCGTCCATCATAAACACAATTCACAGGGTCATAACCCATGCGATGCTGGCACTGCTCTGCACTACTCCTGCATGTAATGAATGCATGGCACTCAGAGAAGCAGAGTGTCCACACCAACTGTCCTGCCTGTCTGATACATGCAACACCTCAAAGCAGCATCTTAGACTCTTTCCCCTCCTCTCTGTGCATCCTTTCTTAAAATTTGTCCTTCCATCCCTCTGCAGATGTCTCTAGCCCTGCTGCCCTCCCTCACCTAGCCTCTGGTCATTCTAGATGCTCCTGTGGGTGACTCCGTAGTGCTTCTTTCCATTCTAAGCTTTCCACTGAGCACACGTCCACCTTCCCAACACTGCGGCACATCTGCGAATCACATGTCCTGGGCTGAGCTCAGCCTCTTCCATCTCCATAATCCAGGTTCCTCTCTGCCTGTCACTCCCACTCAATGCCTTCTACTTCCCTTTGGTTTCCACCTTAGCGGGATTCCTGGAGCAGTCTCCAAGGGAGGGCCTGTGATTCTCATCTTGGAACTCTAACCCACCCACCTTGCTGCCAAGAGGCTAAATCCAATCAAGCTGCCCATCACCTGCTCATTCAAACATGCACCCCTTGAGCTGATAGCCAAGGGCTTCACAGTCAGTCAGCCTCTCCTGATGGTCTTTCTCCAGTGATACCAGGCTCTTAAGTCAGGTTACCCCTTCTTACCCCAAGCTTCGGGGACTTGCTCACCTACACTGCCTACTGACATTCTCTCACTCCTCTGTGCACCCACCATGGCACCCTCCCTCCAGCTCTCTGTCCCACGATGTCATCCGAACAATCTAGTCCCACGGATGTCTCCTGCATCATCTGCTACTTTCTAGAAGACTAACCAGTTCCCAGCTCATTGCCTCCCCCTCTCCCCTCCCCACTCCGTCTTCTAGACTAGTCCTGTGCACACTACCTGTCTGCATTAAGAAGTACCTATCAGAGCCAGGTGTGATGGCACACACCTGGAGGGGTCTGGAAGATTGAGAGTTTGGGGCCAGCCTAGGCTACATACACTATGAGTTAGTCCAGCGTGGGCTGTAAGGCGAGAGAGAAAAAAATTAGAAGAAGAAATGCTTGTTGGACTCAAGAATTTGTGTTTTTACCAACAAGAATTTTTTTTCACAGCTGACATATACATTTAAAATATGGATTAAGTTTCACATTCAACCTGTGAAACAAGAATCTTGTGCAATCAACGCTCCACAAAGTTTACGACAGCTCATTTGGGGTCTTTCCCAAAGGATGGGCCAGACAGCTGCTTCCTGCAGCCTCTGAACAGACGCCTGTAACTGAGCAGCAGCAGGAAAGCCAGTCAGCTCATGTAAGGACCATGTTTTATTTAAATGTGCTGCTAGATTTTTAATTTTTTATTATTGATCTTTTTGCCAAGTATGAATGATCATGCTCACACAAGTTAAGTGCATACATTAAGTATCCTTTTTTTTTTTTTTTTTTAATGATTACTAGGAAAGACTAGGTGCTTAGACCTAGGTCCTTCTACCCTCCTGATTTTCCACATCCAGTTTCTTGTTCTATCTAGGGAGCTCCTGGAGATCTTTTGTTACCGTGCCAACAGAAGAGGGCTCTTTCAGGAGCACCGATGTGTGGCAATGAGCCAGACAGCTTAGAAAAAAAATGAACAAACTGGAGCATGGTGAGTTGCACTGAGCCTTCTCCTCAAGGGGCAAAGACCTTGCCTCGGGCCTGAGCCATAGCCACATCCTGGGACATGAATGAAGTCTCCAGGACAGGCTTCCATGAAGGATGGCAAGGTTCCGGTCCTGTGACCATCTGGGGTGGGGTGGGGTGGAGTGGGAGTCCGGAAAGGAATAAGTCCCGGGAGTGTTGGAGCAAAACCAAGATCTTAGGCCAGGGTCTGGGGGTGGGGGAGACAAATGATGAAAGAGAAGGTGGGGTCGGTGGTAGCCAGGCCTGGAGGGCATTCTCAGCCTTCACTCCTGGCAGCCTTGAGGAAGTTCTAACTAGGGAGGAATTTGGTCTGTTTACATTTTTAAGGATAAAAGCTTCTTCCTGGGGAATGGTTATTACTATCTGCTGATCTGATGTCTGAACAGTTGAATTGTATGGCTTTCGCACACATTTTTCTTATTGAGTGAGGTAAGGCATACAGGTTTTCGTGTGGTTTCTCTTTCACTCTCTGTGTGTGAATTGTCTGTAGTCTTTGTCCTTGGGACACTTCCTTGTCTTGAAGATTCTTCACACATTTGGGGCTGAGGCTGTAGCTCAGGGGTGGAGCACTTGTCTCGCATGCACAAAGCCCTGGGTTCCATTCCCAGCACACACCCCAAATCTGTTCCAAATTGGAAGATATGAAGCCACTTCAATAAGCAACGACTCTTTCCCCAGTCTGTCACGTCTTTGGACTGCTTCTGGCAAGCGCTTTTCCTTGCAGATTTTATTTCTATATCACTGGATGCATCAGTCTTTAAAATCAAAGAGAAATGCAAACTGAAGAGACATTTGAGTGGCGTGACTGGTGATGCTAATTTTGTTTACAGGCTGCAAAGGCTTACTCTTTTCTTTTTTAACTGCCCTTGCTATGGAAGTTTAAACACAGAATTGGGGTGTGTATCTCAAGAACTTGTGGCCTCAGTTGGGTGGTGGTGGCTCACACCTTTCATCCCAGCACTCGGGAGGCAGAGACGGTGGTTCTCTGTGAGTTTGAGGCCAGCCTGGTCTACAGAGTGAGTTCCAGGACAGGCACCAAAACTACACAGAGAAACCCTGTCTCCAAAAACCACCACCACCACCAACAAAAAAACTGTGACCTCCTGTAAAGTATACTTATATTATACTTTTGACTTTTTTTTTTTCCTACAAAGTGGGTTTATTTGCAGCCCTAAACCAATATTGAATGGTTTGGGAAAGGGGCTGGAGGGAAGAGTTTGAAGGATCCTCCATCAGCCCGGGGAACAGAAACTGCAGGCCTTATTTGAAAGGCAGAGGTGCCAAAGCGAGGAGACAAACCAGAAGGCTCAGAGGTGAGGGCATGATCGCTTCCCACAGGGCACGGTGGGAAGAGTGAACTTTTCCCTTACCCGCTTCTTCTCTTCTAGATCTAGACAGGCCCAACAACTGTTGGGGGGCAGATGAGTGGGAGGACAAGAGGAGGAGTTCGCACCCAAATCCTGGAGGAGGGGAAGGGGGGGGAGAGGAGAGTAGGGAGAGAAGGCACAGAAGAGCAGCGGATCTTAGAGAACCCGCTCAAGGTCACACCCGCGGGCTGGTGCTGGAAGCAGAATTCGAAAACAAGCCCGGGTCTGCAGCACCGGGAGTTCTAGAGACAGCCGTACAAACGTGCCCTCTTCTCTCTTTTTGGCTCAGCAGCCCGCGCGCTTGGCCAACCGGGCGGTGGGAGTCACACTTCCTGGGCCTCACCAACCAGAGGTTTGGGGTCCCTTGTTTTTCCTGGTTCAATCAGGATGGGCATATTTGCCATACTCAGGGCTTTGGCTTCCTCCTTGCTTCCCAAAGCCCCTCGCCCAGGACCCTCTGAGCCCCCTATTCTCTCCCAAGTTTGTCTCCCAGTCAGGCTGGGGACCGGCCGCGAGCAGTCAGTCTTCACTGCCCCGGAGTCGGAGATAAACCATACTAATCACCACCAGCGCCTAGTGAGTGCGAGGCGCTTTACTTCCGCAGCGACGAGCAGACCCCCAGAAATTACTGTCCTCGTCACACAGATGAGGCAGCTGCTGCAGCTCTGGGAAGTTGGATGATGTGCCGGAGCTCACAAGGCTAATATTAATGCTAGCTAATGCCTGACTGAGTGCTTCCTGAGTGCCAGGCGCAGGTCTCCGCACCGCCCTGCAGTTCCTCCCCACACACTAGTAAAAGGGGCACAATTATCACCCCCATCTTCCGGATGAGGAGACCGAGGTTGTGGTGCTTGGCCCAAGGTCACCCCAGAGAGTGACGGATGTAGGACTGAAACATAGCCGGGTGACTCTGGGAGTAATTTTTTGTGTTGTCTCCACTACACGGAGAAGCAGCGGGTTTCAAACCTACAGTATCAGAGGCTGGCCTCAATGCCCCGGCGCAAACCAACCAGCTTGGAATGCCACAATTCGCAGAGACATTCCCCCGGACCGCGACCAGAGGGACCCCAAGAGCACCGGGTGTGACCGGTGCCGGCCGGCGATCACCCTTTAGTAGGAGCTGGAGAACACTTACCATAAACGAGAGGGCGAGCGCCTGCCCGGGAGGAATCCCCAGCGCTGGCAGGTCCAGAACTCCCGGGAGAGAGGTCTGCTGCCGCTGCTGCCCACTCAGGGGCGTCCGAGCGACCCCGCGGATGCTGGCTTCCCGGCCAGCGGCGCGTCCTCTCGGCTTGTGCCCGGCAGCAGCGCCCTCTCTCCCCGCAGGGTGCCCTGGAGTTAGGGACGTTCTTGGCGAAGTTGGCGCTCAGGCGCGGCAAGAGGGCTCGGAGGTAGTGAAGCGCCCGACTGCGCCGATCTCAGGGGGGCGCGGAAGCACGCGCCCCGGCCGCCCCGAGGGTTGGCGCCTGACCTGGAGGGCGGCGAGTCCCGCGCTTAGGGCGCACGGGCCGCACCTCGGCCGCCGGTCCCCGGAGCACCAGGTTTCTTCCCCAGCGCCCCGGACGCACGCCGCGATGGCTGCAGCGGTGGCCGGGGCCCGGGCTGCGGTGCGCTCATCGCCTTCCCTAGGGACTGGGCGCCTTTGTGCGCGGGGCGCGCCGACTGCCAGGGCCAGCTCTGGATGCTGCAGCCGCTGCCTCCCCCTCCTCCTCCACGGCCGCCCGCTCCCCGCCTTCCCGGCCGGCCCGGAGGCTGCAGCTGAAAGCCGATCCGGCTGAGCTCATCCCTGAAGGCCACTAATCCAATAGCCGCGGAAGGCGCGGCCGCCGGGAACGCCCCTTCCCCCACCATCCCGCGCCCGGGCCGTCCCAGCTCGGGCCGCTGCCGGCTCTGCCACCTTCTGGAGGCCACCAGCTGGCGGGAGTGGGAAGTGGAACCCGCGCCCGCGCCCTTGGGCCGAAGTGGCGCGGACGCCATTCACTCATCTGCCGGCTGGCGGGCCTGGACACTCGCTCATTCATGCGCATGGGTCCTCCCCCATTCATTCAAGCGTGCCTGGAGAGCCAGGGTGGGTGCCTCTGGGGGCGGGGGATGAAGAGAGGAGACACCACCGTCACCAGATAGCTTCAGTGTCTGTACTCAAGGCGTGTGGGAAACAGCGACGGGGAAAGAGAATGCTTTAATATAACCCCTTGCCTTAGGCACATACATGTCCACACTTTATTTCTGAAGCCAGACTCCAACTCGTCTTTCAAAGCCAATTTCAAGCCGCACCTGCTTCACGGTGCCTTTCCCCGCCCACCTGAAGCCAGAGGGAAGGATCATTGCTCAGAGGGCTCCAGGCGCTGATGGTGGGCTGCTCCCGAACTAGCTTGAGCTCAGAGATAAGGAAGAGGGCGTGGCCAAAGCGAGGGACTCTGTACTTCTCACATTCGTTTGAGGAAAGCGAAGGTTCCTGGCCAGGGCAACCTGCTTGCAATCCCAGAGTTGACATCAGGTCCATTCCACAGTCCTAGCTGACCTCACTTCTCTCTGATGGGCTTCGAGCAAAGATTCTAGATCAGAAAGTGTCCATTTTTTTTTTTTTAGACACAGAAGACAAGCACCTGCAATCCAATCCTGTGAGGGGAATGTGTTGACCCGGACTCCAGAGTTCCTTTCCCAGACTGGAGAGGGCAATTTGAGAATGTTTCTTTGTGGAAGTGGCTGCATGAATTAGCTGCTGGACGCAGAAGGCATCATAGTCTCACGTAGGTACCTGTAACCGCCTGTGTGGTGTGACTGGAGCCCAAACAGGAGGTAAGACAAAACGGGAGGGGTACTTAGGGTCTTGGAGACCATCCAAAAGGCTTGGCTTTTCGCCAAGATCAGTTAGGCAAGCCTTTTTGACCTTGACAGATTTGCTGTCCGGAAAGATAGTCCAGTGGCAGAGTGAATAGATGGATGAATAGCACAGGCCAGTTTGGAAGCTGCTACAGAGGTCTGAGCAATGAAAGATGCTTTACCAATCAGAACAGCTCAGTGGTGAGGCAAAGGTATACTGAGCAAGTGTTTATGGTGGTTATGATTTTGCTTATACTGCTTCATCTATGTTTGCAGTTCTGTCTGCTGTACCTGTATGTCTCTGGATGCCCTGGTGACGGCACAGAAGAGCGGCTGAAGGAATGTAACCCGTGGACACACTTGCTTGTTATCCCCTCCCTCTTCAGGATGTTTCTGGAGCATCTGCTCTGCCAGCTGCTGTGGTACTGACAGAACTGGATAGCATGAGAGGAAAACTCAGAAACAAAGGGAACTTTAGCAAGTCTTTCCAAGAACCAGAGAGATGACTCAGATGGTCAAGAGTACTTGTTGCTCTTGAAGAGGACCAGGGTTCAGTTCCTAGCACCCACATGGTGGTTCACAGTCATTCAGAACTCCAGTTCCAGGGGATCAGATGCCTTCTTCTGACTTCTACGGGTTCCAGGCATGCACATGGTACACATTCATTCATGCAGGCAAAACACTCATGCACTTAAAATATAAACCTGAAAACAACAACAAAATACCCAAGACTTTCCAGCTAATGGTTCCTCTATCTAGAAATGGCCAGCACTCATTTCTAATCCTCCTTGCTGGAGGACTTCCCAACCGCTTAAGAGCAAGATGGGGAGGGCTCAGTAGCTACAAACTGAAAAACTACCCCCCTCGCAAACACACTGGTGTGCCAGATAGGTTCACTACACAAGCCTTTACAAATGTGAATGTGCCTCAGGCGTCAAGAAACGGGTACAACAGCACCCCCAGGTGTCACTGAAGTTCCCCAAATCCTCCAACCCCTGAAGAGCATGGACATGGTTTGTCCCCAGGTTTGAAATGGGAACAAATGTCTGTTCATTCCAGATAGGGTATCCATGACAGACCAGAGAAATAATTCCACCCTCGCCTAGTTTGGGGGACCAGTAAAATGGTTGAAGTTACTAATAGGAGCATGGGAGCCACAAAGCTGTTACTAAAGAACCCACTCCCATATGGATGACAGCTCGGGAAAGCTGTATCGCTGGGGCTCCCTGCACAGCTTGTAGGCGGAAGAGTTTCTATGCCCCAGCTTTTACAAGCTTGAGAAGGGGCCTTGTGAATCTTGTAACTTTCATGAGCTTTCTGAGCCTTCTAAGTTTTATTAGCTTCTGGAGTCTTATTGCACCTTCTCTCCTCCCTCCTGGAGATAATGTTTCTACTCAGAGGAAACAGCCACACAGGAAGAGGAAACAGTTCGCCATTTGGGAAATTAGCTTGGATAACCTGATCAATGTTCTTTAAACTGAAAGTCTGCAGCCTATAAACTGCCCTCTGGCGATCTCTGACTTTGGATAGTCTCATCCTGCCCCTTTTCCTCTGAAGCGTAAGCTGGACTTGCTGTCTTGCTTTTCACAAATAGAACACAGTAGGGCAGACAGGATGTCCCCTCCCCGGATTGGGTAATAAAAAGACCATCTGCACTAGACACTCATTGCCTCTCTTGCTCTTTTGGCATTGCCCCCTGAAGGAAGCCAGGTGTTGTGCTGTGAGGAAACCTGGTGAGGGACTGAGCTCAGCCTACCACCATGGGAGCCTTCCCACCAGGGTTTTTGATGTCTTGACTACAACTCAAAGATACCCAAACCAGAGGTACAAACTAGGCTGTGCTGATTCTTGATGGGTGGAAACACTAAGAAAATGTTGGTGGTTTTTAAGCTTCTGAACTTTGGGATTGTTTGTTAATCAGCATCGCATAACTAATAAAAGATATTCCCAATTGCCAGGGAGTGGATCTAAAATAAATCCTTGATGAACTTGGCATAGTCTCGTTCCAAAGAATACACAATATGGACATACAGCCATGTAGATGAACAGTCTTATTAAATAAGAAACACAGAGCCAATTGCAGAGTTAAAAGCCCAAGAGGTCAGAGCAGTAGCTAAGAGCTAAAAACCCTTTCTTACCCTACTGCCGCTGCTGTCCTTCCCCTCAGCAAAGAGAGCTACTTCCTGTGTATCTGTCTTTTTATTGACTTTCTGTTCTGCCTTCTCATTGGTTGTAAACCCAGCCACATGACCTCCTCATCACTGCTTGTCTATACAGACCTCCAGGTCTTCTATGGTTAGTATTGAGATTAAAGGCGTGTCTCTCCATGCTGGCTGTATCCTTGAACACACAGAGATCTGCCTGTCATGTAATCTGGGTTAAAGGTGTGCCCCACCACCGCCCGACTTCTGCTATGGCTTGCTATTAGCTCTGACCCCCAGGCAACTTTATTTATTAACATTCAATAAAACCACATTTCAGTACAAATAAAATATCACCATACAGCCAAGCAGCCATGGGCTTAGATCTCAGTCTAGAGATGTTTGCTTTTAGCCCTCTCATTTGAAAAACAGGGACAGAAGAATTTCTTCTCCGTGTGGTTTTATATCGTAGCACATTACAAAGTAGGTGTCCAGTACATTTTTCCTATGCTTTCTATCGGGGAACCAAAATCTACAGCATTCTTAGAATTTTTGAATGAGGAAGAGTCATGCATGGGGCAGAAGGTCTATGAGATGATGTCCAAAACATTCGTTTTAGATTTTCAGTCGTGCAGATTTATGAAGGACAACGTCGTAACGGGACACGTGAAAACCATGAACTGGCCTTCTCTTGCCTTTGCTTCTCCAGGTATGGTCTGTTACCTGCTTCCCAGCTGTCAGCTGTCAAACCTGAGACTCTTGGTCTTGCAGAAGCACTCACTGTGGTTTCACAGAGGCTGAGGAAAAGCTGTGAGTTCTGTGACATTTTGGAGTGCAGAGCTTGCTGGAATGATGTTTGTGGGCAGGGCAGGAGAAAAGGAGTGTAAGTCTGCCTGCCTGTCTTCAACAGGAATAGACTGCTCAACTTGTTCTACAATATGGTATGACCCCGATGAGGGGGGGGGGGTCAACATTTAGATCCTGTTCTCTTCAGCTCCGGTGCATTATCTCTACTAGATGCCCAGGCAGTCTTCGTAAAAGAAATATTCTGACACATCCTTCAAGGCCACTGGCCTGGCATGACCCACTGGATGGTCTTTATACTTCTTAGTGGGGTCTGCGTCTGCCCAGCCATCTAGTTTTACCTCTCTCCGTCTGGCCCTGGACAGAGCATAACGAACCACGGAACTCCTGAAGTGTATCCGGCTCCTTCTCCCCAACACCGGCCTTGGCACATGCTGACCCTTTCGCCTTCTGTGGATCTAGCCAAGGTCGCTCTAACTTGCTCTCTGGCCTGCATGCCCCGCATCCCCCTCCAGGAAGCTTTCTGTGCCCCAGGTGACAGATGTCCTCCAGTGTGTCTTCTGCCTTTCCCACCCTCACAGCTGCTCTTGCCTCTCTTCTTGTCCTCACTCTAAGATAGGAGCCTTTCAAGATGTCTTTTTCATCCTTATACCTTTTGAAACAAGCCTACATTTTTTCTTGTTAATTTCTCAAGGTACAACGCTCTATATTTTTCCTTAGTAGCTCTGGCTGGGTAAGGGGCCTCTTCTTTGAAAATTCCACGGCACTTGATTCTGACATCTTCTGGGATTTGTCAGATCATATTCTGGCACTTGGCAGTGACTCTTTTCTTAAAAAAAAAATGAAAAAAACAAACAAAAACTAGAGTAGCTGAAACAATATTTGTAAATATTTATGGCCAGCATCGTGATAACTGAATAAGGTCTAACCTCTTCAGCCAGCTTGGCTGGTTTCTGCTGCTTCCAGGTAACTAGTCTGGTCTCAGAGTCTTCTTTGCCTCTTTTGCTGTTCTGAGATTCTTCTTTGCAGCTTGGTTTCAATCATCTGAGGGGGACGCTTAGATTTTATTGCTTACTCTGGCAGGGAGGGGTTTAGTGAATCTGTTGAGTTTCAGGGACTTCCTGGTGGAGCTAGAGAATTTTTCCAGCTACATCCTGAAGCTATTTTAAGTCGTTTACCTTTCAGTTTAAGGAGCTTCCTGCAGGATGGAATGTTTCACAACAATGCTATAAACAAAGCTTATCCAGTCATTCCTGTGGGAGTCTGGAAGACCAGAATAATGACAAAAATTTGAACAGTGAAGGTTCAGCTCATGAGGTCTCTGAGGGGAACAAGGTCTCCACCAGGAACTGGTGGAGAAGCCATTTAAGTTATATTCTGAGAAGACTCTGGTTTCATTCCTGCCACTGTCCTGAGATGTGATTGAGAGTGGGTCTGAAAGGGAAGGAGTGCTGTGTTTGGCAGAGGAAATGGCAGGGCTGACTGGCAAGCTGTCAGACTGGCAGTGCTCAGTGCTATTATTTAGGTTTGTAGTGAGAAAGAGCAGAAAGTTGAAAACTGTGAATTCCTGTTTTAGGAACAGCAAGAAAGATGCGCTGAGGGCAAGACCCCACCCACCAAAGGCTCAGACTTGTGAAAATGCAGTTATTTGAGAAGAGAAAGTGGAAACTGAGAATTCATGCCTAGAAAGCAATCCCCTGGGGAAGTGTTCTCCTCCCCCCCCCCCCCCCGACTCCCACTCCAGGTTTAGCACACAGGCTGCCACACCTGTGGTCCACGTCTCAAGCTACCTGAAGCACCTGGCAGTATTGGCTTTACAGGAATACAAGATGCAAGAGTGAGTGAGTCATGGAGGCTTGCATCCAAGTCCCCAGAAGCTGGTCGGGCCAGGCGATGTGTGGCAGGGTTGCAGCCCTTGTGATGAGGCCTAAGAGGCTAAGTGTGAACCTGGGAAGGTAAAATCTAAATCACAGTAGACACCCTAAGATGATGCCAAGATCATGCCCGAGGAACTCACCCAAGAGAGAGGTGATGCGTACTGCAGGTGGCCCGAGCTGGAGGGTGGAGATAGCCAAGCCTATTGGAGCCCATACGGTTGCTTCGGGAGCCCTCGATACTGGACATAGAGCTAAGAGAGTTGGAGTTTTCCCTGCTTGCTTTCAATCCTCTTGTTGGACCTTCCCTTGCTGTGCCCCCATTTCTCCATGGGAATGCTGATTCTGGTCCATTGCATTACAAAATCTCACAGTTAAGAGATTGCCTTGAGTCTCCAAAGAGAGTTTGTGAGGTTCAGAGGTCTCAGCATCTAAGAAGGACTTTGGGAACACCTGAGCTGGTCTCCTGTAAGAAAGGCCGGCAAGGTTCAGTGACAGAGGCACCCATTGATCAGTGAGCAGTGAACTTGATGCGGGCTGTATGCCCAGATCTACACACGCACTAGAGCACTCACACACATAGAGGCCTGGGGACACTGGGATGTGGTGTCAGAGTGTGGTCTGACCAGAGAGGGTGGCACAGGATATTCAGCTTTGATTTTCTACCACTTCCATTTTCCTCTTACATAAAAGGGAGGTGATGATACCCATGACACGGAGTTGAGAGGATTAAAGGGGATGTGTCTAATGACTTGCCTGGTGTTTCCTCTTCAAGCAGTGGTCTTGCATGTTATCAAATGTCCAGGAAGTTCAAAATGCAGCCCATAGAATGGAACGCATAGGTGTCCTCTCTCCATGACATTTGTCACTTTTGGGCATAGGGCAGCTGAACTAGGCTCCTTAGACTTAAGGGATTCCCTGCTGCTATCACACTGCTCAGTCTTTCTGGCAGTTTGGCCAGCCAGAACTTCCCTCTTGGGTCTTTGAAGCTGGAACCAGCTCTTCTACAAACCCAGGATATGAATGAATCCATTCTGATGGAGACAGGGTTGGCAATGTCCCCTCTCATTAGCAGTGATATCTGTCTCCAGTGACCAGAGGCCAGGGTTGGCAATGGCAGTCCTGCCCTCAACACAACAGGTTGGTCTTGAGGTACGTTGGTAGTTGTAGTTCTGTGCTCTGAATTGCTGTTCCTGTCTCACCCTCCCCCATCTATTCCTCCAACCTCCTCAAATGGTCCATGATTTCCTCAATTTCCTTTCTTTCTGAGTCTGCTCACAGAGTGAATCGCACTGATTGAGTTTTGAATGTAGAAGTCGTTTTCGGTTTCTGCTGTAAATCCCACTTAGTCATGACGCATTCATCCTTTTTTTTTTTCTTAAACTTGAAAAAATTTTGCGAATTTTCATGTAGGAATATTTGCATCATTTCCATCTTTCCTTCTCAACCCCTCTTCAATATCTCTTCTGCCATCTACCTCCCTCTCAAATTCATGACCCCTCTTGTATTATTACTGTTACATGTATGTGTATATACATACAACTTAGGAGGTCCTTTGCTGCATGGTTGGACTCCATTTGTCTGCTCATGAGGTTTTATGAGTTGGTTTTTAGCTCTGCTTTTCTGGTAACATCTTGTCCAGAGACAGCACCAACCCAGTCTGTCATTAAAGAATGAATATTCCTTTTTTCTTCTGTTTTCTGGAAAAGTTTGTGTAGAATTCATGGTATTTGTTCCTTAAATGTTTCATAGTCTGGACGTGGTGTCCCATACCTTTAACTCTAGCACACAGGAGGCAGAGGCCCACAGAAGGCCAGCCTGGTCTCTATATCTGGTTCTAGGCCATCATGGCTACGTAGTGAGACCTTGTCCAAAAAAGAAAAAGGTTCATAGAATTAGCTAGTGAAATAATTTGACCTTGGGGTCGTCTTTATGGGTCTTCTTCCTTTTAAAATAGAAGGGAATTAGTTTTAAAAGATAGATTATAGCTATTCTGGTTATCCATTTGTTAGGGGGCAAACTGTGGTAATTTATATTTTCCAAGAAATCGCTCCATTTCATGTCATTATAAAGAATATTAACATCAAGCCAGGCTTATGATTTCCTTATTATCTTTTAAATACATGCAGAATCAGCAGCCAT